GGGAGATTGTGTTGCCCTAGGTGGACCTTCCATCCCAGAGCGACCTTCACTCTCCTCATCAGTTGACTGTCCTGATTCCATGGCTTCATACCTGTTGTAAAAAGTGCCAGTGCTACTTGTCATCATCAAGACTTTGGGAGAAGGAGCCTTCGTCCTAGTATGGGCAGTGACTGGTTTCCAGCCTTCTTGTTCAACAGACCCTTGACTAGCTAGTGACAGTGTTCTGGGTCCACCTGGCTCTTCACTACAATGGAAGTTCAAGACTCCTGAGTCTGTACAGTCTCTGAGATCAATCAATCAATCTCTCACTTGTTTTGTCGAATACTACATAGGCTATTCACTTCCTCCTGTACTTCCTTCACCTGGTGACACAGCTTACCAGTAACAGCACACCTTCTACAAAAAGAATGATTATCAGTCCCAGTCTCACAGAGAGGTATCAGGCACTCCTGACAACCCAAGACCTGGAGAACGCATGAACTATGACACACTACAAAGAGTGATTCCTGTTCACCTTCTTAAAAATAGCAAGTGCAATTCACGCAGTGGCTTATAGGCTGTACCCCTAAATGTTCCTTTGTGAAAACATGGAGTACTCTGGAATAACATGATGGAAACAGGTGAGAGATCTGAATTGCTGTTTGGGGCCATTCTATGAAATTTGCTTTTTCATTTGCCTGACAGGTCCAATTTTCTTTCTATTAGGAGAAAATGTCGAAATTTTAGCAGCTGAATTTTTAGTAACTACCAATACCTGTTTTAGAATTCACAATACTGCACTTTAGCAACACACAGCCTCAGAACAAGCAGTAATTTCATTACAAATTAATTCTCAGTATATGTGAATGTATATTAAAATCTTTGATTCCTGACTAAAAATGTTAGACAGTTTCTTTACACATTTGTACAAATTTATATCAATGAAGTGGCTTTTTTTGTGTGTGTTTTCTTTAACATATTTGAAAAAAGAAGAACCTCTCAAATGTTGAAATAAATTCAGTCTCTTGGTATATTTTAGGCCAGTATGACATATATGATGTATGAGTCAGACAATCTTGAGTGTTGCATTTAAGATACACATCACTAATTCTGATACAAAAAAGATAAGCAGAGTAGGCAGATGCTATTTGGATAAGTAAACAATCCATACAGTGTGGAGAGATTTCTAGAAAGTATACACAGGATTTACAATTTACAAGATCTAAAAATCTTACCTTGGGAAAAGGTGAATGAACCCACAATAACAGGCAGAAATCCAGATTGCTCCTTTTCTAGAATTCCCAAAGCTCAGCATATGTACCATTGCTCATGTCTTATAGCTAGAGTAGGTATATCTGAAAGCTCCATTGATCACTAACATTTCTACATATCTCTAACTAGGGCTGGAAAATTTTAAGATACACTCCATATACCTAAAGTATTATTTAATGTTTTGGTAAAATTTTTATGGATACAAACATGAAAATGAAGATCAAAGGTGGAACAAGAAAGTATGCAAAGCCAGAAGACAATGGACACTTTTAAAATAATTTTCTCCCATATGGCATCTTAGACTGTCTGTGAAGGCAGAAATCAGACTTTGCTCTCTGCCAGTGTTTATAAAGCTTATATAAGCAGCTCAGTATGAAGTTCTAAATGAAATGTTAATTACTATACTGGATCAGATTACTCATCAGAGTACCAGTGTCACAGTAGCCATTTTTAAGTGGAGACATAACAGGCTGTTAGTTAAAAGTTCATTTATACAGGGAAGCATGGTTTACATCTCTTCATTTTTTCATATAATATCATAGCTAGCTGTATACCGTGCATAGATGTCTAAGTGTTTTTATTTTATTTCATAGTATCACAGAATGTTAAGGTGTTGGAATTGACTTTAGAGGTCACCTAGTCCCAAGCCCCTGCCCTGGGCAGGGACACCTCCCACTAGACCAGGTTGATCAAGGCTCTATCCAACTTGGCTTTGAACACTGCCAGGGTTGGAGCATGCGCAACTTTCCTGGGCAACCTGTTCCAGTGTCTCACCACCCTCACATTTAAAAACTTCTTCCGAATAAAAAAAGTCATATTATTTGTTGTAAGACCTTGGCCTCATGCTTATTCAGCATCAAATGTACTGTACTAAAGTACAGTCAGGAATTTTGGTTTTTCCTGTGAGCAAAATTAAACAGAGATGTCAGCCTAGTTTTTCACTGTATTCACTTTTCAGTTGTGTACATGTTGTCCCTTCTAACAATCTGCTCTCAAATAAGTATTCTAATAATTCCAGCTCTCAGTCTAGGTTTTTTTTTGTTTCGTGGTTTGTTGGGGTTTTTTTGATCATGCAGCTCTTAACCTCCCTGTATTCACAGGTTTTATTTACTCACAAGGAAGCAGTCCTCTTTGCTTTAGATGACATGAACCATTCAAGCCTAAGCTAGTTACTAAGCAAGACAGCCTACAGACAGTGGTAGAACTTCCAGCAGGCTACTCTTATTTTAAATGTCTGAGATGGTATGTGTTGCTTTCCTGACCAGTATTTTCCCTTCATTAGAAAGGAAGCATAAGGTGACTTTGGTACATTTTATGATACTTAAAGAAAGTAAAATGAATCCAAACCATATAATCTCAATTGAAAAGGGCACTGGAAGAGATAGCTACTGAAAATTTAAAGGGAAAAAAAATCTGTATTTTTTAAATGGTTTGAGCTACTCCCTCTTACATGCTCTGCCAACACTGAATTTAATCTGCCAGTGGATATCCTCTTCTTTTCATCTTGTTGTATCCCCTGGAGATCTTTAGTTTTTCCTGTCTTTGACTAGTCTAAGTACCTTCGTGATATCTGCATATTTTATAGCATTACTGATCGCACAAACATCAGTATTAATAAAATTGACACTAACAAAAAGTGCTTTTTCTCATATTGAAAATATTGCTTATTTTCCATCAGTTCCAAATAACATCCATGACAACACACTGTGCTCCAAGATTATTTGGTTTCTCGTTAATATCATCTATGAATTCTAAGCCTGATTTTTCTAAAAGAGAGTGTCCTTTAACCATTTTTTGGCTGCTGATCTTAAGGAAACTTATTTGAAAACAGAGGGAAAATCTTCCTTTACAAAAGGATCCTAATCTGTCATAGAAATACATATCTCCTAATACTGCTCCCTATTTGCAGTTCCACATTCCACCTATACCTCTAAAGACAGTTATAACTGGGGCACTCCAATCTTAGTCTAGTAATTTTCTTTTTAAGCTAAAGGATGAATGGTTTTTTATAGTAGTTCATCCCCCTTTTAGTGCAGATCTTCAACACTCCTAATGGTTTACGGTGATGGGACCCCAAATCAACCAAAGCCCTGAGATAGATCTGCTCAGGCCTTTAGCTCTCCCAAAAAATTCAAAAGGCTATTAAAAGCCAAGATTAACCAAAAACCAGAAGCCTTTAAAATCAGACAAAACTGAAAGCAATGAGTTAACAGAGAATGTCAATATGGTTTATAAGCTTTTTTTGCCCACTGCATGTGGTATCCTTGCAGGTGGGGCTGTGCTTTCAATGAATTCAGGGACGCTGAGTGGTAGCAAAAGTTCTTGTTTGTTCACATTATCATGTTCCTGTGCCTGCTCAGCTGGTCTGGAGGTGGAGGAGGAGGAGGTGGAGGAAGAAGAAGAGAAGGAGCAGCATGAGGAAGAAGACTTCCACCTCCTATCAGAAGCTTTTATTTCACCTAATCATTTCTTAAAGGAATATAATACAGAACAGAGAGCACACAAATACAACAATACCATCTGTCCCAGCCATGCATGATCAAAGTAAATTGTTGCTTTTACATTTGTTAGGTTCTTCATAGTATTTTTTATATCTTTGAGAGGAAAGCTAAGAGGAGATTTGCCTTTCTCTACTGGAAATACATTTGATTTGACTGATGTGCCTAAATAACCCATAAAGTACATATATTGGATAATCTGGATTTGGAACCATTTTTTGATGTGTTCTTCAGAAGCAATGAAAAATGTGAGTTAAATGCCACCACAATGAAAAATTTAAGAGTGGCATGACAACTACCCTTAGAGATCTTCTCAGCTATTTTCAAATGTATTTTAATGTGGTTTGAGATAGCCTAACATATAGTTAAGGTAACTTTAATCACTTCCTGTTTGTCATGAACTGAGAAAGTGCAGTGGACAGTCACTGCAGTGTGGCTGTTGTATAGGAACTTTTCAAGCCACAGCTACTTGTTTCTGTGTCTCAAAAGAAAGAGAAAATAAAATTCCCTCTGTGGAAGATCTCAGATTAGCATATCTGTCAAACACAATTGGATGTTCAAATTGTATATGTAGCATTATTCAATTAGAAATGTCATTTGACTAGAAATGAACTTCTAAACTGAAATTAGTAGAAGGAAACCAAGAACTGAGTATATTACTGTGAAATCTGCTACAAAATTGGATTTTTCTTTTCTGATAAAAAGCAGCAATTTGTCTTTAGCATTGCATTATTTTCCTCATATATCTGTACTTTAAAGTGATTCGAAAATGCAGATATGGCAGAAAGTATTTAAAGTATGTGAAGGCACTGAGAGAATATTTTATGGTAAATAACTATGGAATAGCTAGGACCCCTGGATGCTGGGAACTACTGACCTGTCAGCCTCACATCTGTGCCTGGGAACCTCATAGATTCTATGCTAAGGCACATGGAGGACAGGGAGGTGATTCAAGACAATCAGCACAGCTTCACCACGGACAAGTCTTGCCTCACCAATGTAGTGGACTTCCATGATGGAGTGGTCAAGGGAAGAGCTACCGAAGTCATTGGGACTTCTGCAAAACCTTTGACTTGATCCCTACAGCATCCTTCTCTCGAAATTGGAAAGATGTGGATTTGATGGGTAGACTCTTTGGTGGATGAGGATTTGGTTGGGTGGTCACATCCAGGGGGCAGCAGTTCACAGCTCATTGTCCTGATGGATGCTGATGATAAATGGTCTCACTCAGGGGTTTGTAAAAGGCAAGTACTATTTAATATCTTCATCAATGACATAGAAAAAGGGACTGAGTGGACCCTCAGCAAGTTTGCAGATAACACCAAACCAAGCAGTGTGGAAGGACAGGATACCATCCAGAGGGACCTGGACAAGCTCAAGAAGTGAGCCGAAGGAAACCTCAAGAAGTTCAACTAGGCTAAGTGCAAGGTGCTGCACCTGGGTTGGGGCAACTCCTGGCATCAGTACAGGTTGGGGAAAGAACTGATTGAGAGGAACTCTGACAAGAAGGACTTGGGGATGCTGGGGGATTAAAAGCTGGACCTGAGCCAACAATGTGTGCTTGCAGCCCAGAAAGCCAAGTGTTTCCTGGGCTGCCTCATAAATGGCATGGCCAGCAGGTCGAGGAAGGGGATTCCACCCCTCTGCTTTATTCTTCTGAGATCCCACCTGAAGTATTGCATCCAGCTCTGGGGTCCCCAGCACAGAAAAGATATGAACCTGTTTCAGTGCGTCCAAATGATCAGAGGTCTGGACCACCTCTCCAATGAAGACAGGCTAAGAGAATTGAGATTGTTCAGCCTGGAAAAGAGAAGACTCCAGGGAGATCTTATTGCATCATTTCACTACTTGTAGGGGGCCTATAAGAAAGATGAGGACAAATGATTTAGCAGGGCCTGTTGCAACAGGACAAGGGGTAATAGTTATAAACTAAAAGAGAGTGAATTCAGACTAGATATATGGAAGGAGGTTTTTACAATAAGAGTGGTTAAAAACTGGAAGAGTTTGCCCAGAGAGGGGTTTCCCCCATGCCTGGAAACCTTCAGGGTCAGACTGGACAGGGCTCTGAGCAATCAGAGTGAGTTGAAAATGTACCTTCCAACCCAAAGCATTCTATGATCCTATTCTATGAACTAGTGCATAGTAGTGTTTAAAGATGAATATAGGTTAAAGTTGGGTCTCCTTTATGCACAATATCTAATTCCTGCATTAAATGTGATGCCTGACCTAAAAGAGTATTATAGATAAGCTATCACACATTTTTAGACTCCTGTTGGTATGGAATAATTATTGCTAAGACAAGACAACAACTGCATAGTTTTATTGTTCTCAGTTGAGATCAACATATGTGTTCTCTAATTCCAGGTACATAGGCAGGCAGATAGTTATGCCAAGCCCCTGAGGACAACTACACTAAAACTGAATTATTCCAGGTACATTCCTTCCTTGTTAGTGAAAATAAGAAATTACTCCTTGCTGATAACAACCTTCTGTCCCCATCTCACCATGCCACCTGAGCTCAAGTATTCTGGTCAGTGATTTGCACAGCAGTGACCCTGTCCCTTTTTGATAGTTGGCTGAGCATAGAGAGGATAAACTCATGCCAGTATGTCAAGGCACAGAGCTGGGTAGTCAGATTAAGCCTATAAATTCATTTTAGTTTTCTCAGTTTCTTTCTCTTCCTTTGATGGTTTTATAGTTAAGAACAGACCTACCCCTGAGGGCCTAAAAATACCTTATATGTGGGAAGAGAAAGATAATCAAAAGAAAGACTGTTAAGACTGTGCAGTTATCTAAACTAGCCAGTGCACAGCCAGTTTCTGATTCAATTGGAAAATTGTTGCTGCTTCCCATGCAAAGCCATGAATATGTAAAGACACAGATTATTTGAATGCACCTTCTTAAAACATTTTCCAGTAGTTGGTTTTGGTTTTTTTTTTTTCCCATTTTTCAGAGGACAAACAGATTTGAATGCACTACAATGTGCTAAGCATCATGGGCTGTGCTCTTTAAATAAGCTCATCTTTTTATTTTGTCATAAAAATGCCACGGAATAAGCATTTCAGGAAAGATACTTTTCTTTAGAAATTTGTTCAGGGTCTAGCATAATGAAGGACTGACAACTGGAAGAAGACTTAAGTGGTACTACAATGCAGTCAGTAAACAACAAATATAATAAATCACTGTTTAAAATCCTACTGAAATGTTTCAAACATTTTAAGACTGCCAGAGATCTTTTTGGCTAGTTCTTTGACAAGTCTCTAGTACAGGGTGGTGCCTTTCAGAGGTTAGAGTCTACAGTCCTGTCACTCTATAATATGAACTGGAGAACAGTAATAAATATTTATTAATGCACAGCAAGCTAAATTTTCAATAATGGCAGTCCAACATTTTCCCTGCTTTATTCTGTCAACAAATTCTGAAATGTCTGTATTTTCTAACTAATTCTAATGACTTGCTGAAGAACTGACTGACATATATGTGCAGTAAGATGCTAGCTTAAAATCTGAAAGAATGTACTGACACCAGAAATTTTGCTGCTAAACATATGTTTTGAATTTGACCATTACATACAACTTCCTAATACTTTCCTGGCATTATGAAAGTGCAGCAATAGAAAGTTAATTGGACAAGGAAGGTACTACGCAAATAAAAAATGCTTAGAAAATAGCTTTTCCAACTATTTTTTGGGTGAATTTTTAACAAAATGCTGCAATATTGCAGAAGAATTTATGACTACTAATGAATGAAATTCAGTTGCTAAGCATTTTGATATTTGATGTCTGTTATTGTGTGATCATATTGCCTGGCAACTCTTCATCAGCAAAAAGACAGGTTGAAAAATAAATCTGAAAAAAATTTTGAAACTGTCACACCCAGAAAAACTAATATAATAAATTCTAGACTGAAATTATTTTGGCAACTAATACTTTTTTAAAAAAAAATATTGCTTATCTGTCTATGCTGATTATTATCGCACATAACATGTGCAAAGACTTTTTTTTGGAGAATGGAATATTAAAAGATATAATGCCAACAAAATAAACATTTCTCAAGCTATGAAGTATATCATTATTATTTTAATTAGCACAATTTTATAAATTACCATTAAAAACACTCTATATCCTGGAAACACTCCAACATATACCTACAGTTCATAGTATTCTCATGGGTATTTTCTTAATTTAGATTCTGAAACTTTGCATTTAGATCTTGAGATACTATTAGGGAGAAGTTCAATGTGTAAGTCATTCTGAGTGTGCTAAACCAGAAGTGATAGCCAAGCAACAGCTATAATCTGGAGGAGGAGGAGCAGCCCAATCTGGATTGTGATGGAAGCAGCAACTCTATAGTACATACTTGTAATTTCTGATTTTCAATAGGTCATAAATTTGATAAGAGAAATTTCTATTTCTTACCTACATTTCCAGTCATTAGGTATGAATTCTGAAAGTCCATCATTCCCATTCCAACAATGTGTATAAAATCTTCAATCACCTGCATTAACTCCACTGAGCCTGGATAGATCTAACAAAGGAAGATCAGACATGCTGTTAATTTTAATATCAAAATCTCTACAACATCAAATTCAAATAAAATCTAGATGTTATCGCATGAAATGTGAGATTTAACAGTCAAACTCTTCTTCCCATGTTTCAATCCAGAACATTTTCTGCTACTGTAAACCAACCATTTTGTTATGAGATCCTCATGAAAACAGACACTACTTCCCATAAAGCAACATGAAATCTACTTTGCACTGAACCGTGGAATGTTTGCTCTAAGTCACTGCACTTACCAATAACTTCTTACAGGCCATTACATTAATTAATGGTTAAAGCCTTTCATAATACAGAACAATTCTAATTAAAATAGTCTTCCTTCCTCTGGAAGATATCTTCAATAACTTCAGAACTATTGATAAAAAGCACAGCCACTCCAACATGATAACCTTCGTTGATTTAATCAACATGTAAGTAGTATCAATTTTTACTGAGAGCACTATTTTCATTGCTGATGTGGAGGAGTAGAATCATAGAACAGCTAAGGCTGGAAGGGGCCACTGGAGATCATCTAGTTCAACCCTCTGCTCAGAGCAAGATCAGCTCCAGCAAGTTGCCCAGGATCACATCCAGTTGGATTTTGAATGTCTCCCAGGATGAAGACACCAGAACCACTCTGTGCAACATGTTCTAGCATTCAATCACTCTCACAACCAAACAGTTTTTCTCATATATAAATGGCATTTTTTGAATTTTAATTTTTGCCACTTGTATTTTTTCCTGTCACTGGACACCACTGGGAAGAGCTAGCTCAGTCTTCTTTACTCACTGTCCCCTTCAGGAATTTTTAATACTGTCAGGATCTTCACTTTTCCAATCAAAATAGCATCAGCACTTTCAGGGTCTCCTTGCTCTAATCCCCTAAACATCTTCATGGCTCTTTGCTGGGCTCATTCCATTATGCTCATGTCTTGTACCGGGGACTGGACACAGGAAACTAAAATAAATTGCAGTGGTCTTTGCATTGCTAATGTTGCCTTTCAATTTGACTTTCAAAATGGTAAGAACTAGCATATTTCCAAGAAATAAAATTCAGTTGCAAAGCTGTAAGCTACTGCAATCACAAAAATGTTAAAATTTTTATAGTCAATGACAAGGATTTATTAGAAAAACAGTATTAAAGATCAAAACAGTTATTAATAAGCTTAAACGTTCTGTTCATATCATATACATTAAAAAAGTCCTTTTTGGTTTTCATGGCCTGTTATGAACAAGGCAATTTTCAGTAATACAGTATTTTGCAATAGAAGAAGACCTGATGACCTCTTCATGGTGTTTTTTAATTCATATCAGTGATATGTGCAAATTTCACTTTATGAGCAATATTCAACCCATTCTTTCCACTACTGGGGCTACACACTCTAAAAAATGCCTATAGAGACTATAAATTCCAGCATCCTGTACTCTATCTTCATCTTGCTTTATCTATCTAGATCCATAGCTGCTTGGTTCAGGACAGGAAAGTTCACAAAGTGCTTTGTTTTCTACATGAATCTTTTTATAAAAGGTAGGGCAGCGATACTGTTTCGAAGAAGAATTTGTTGTGACATTTATGATCCTAACAGGTCGTAAATGCACCTTCAGGTGAAGGAGACTTAACTTCCATTTTCCTAATGATGAGTTACTGAGGTAAGTGTGGTTTTTGCATTCATCTCATTCATAGCACACACACACTCATGGATTATGTACTAAGGAAAAATTTCAGTGAAAAGATGTTTTCAATCCGCATTCTTGCATATAAAATTTTATAGCCATAACTTCAGCAGAAACTGTTGAGCAGTCAGTGTTATAGAGGTACCCTGCATTTTTATCTATCTGAAGCACTGGTTAATCAATAGGATGCCAGCAGATCATGATGAAGAATATGCAGAACAGCTCCTGTGTCTTGAAACACCAGTATAAACTTATGCATTGTGGATTTGAAGTGGCTTCCTGTGTGCAGTTCTTTACATCAGCTCGTAAAAAAAAGGCAAGTATTAAAGTGAGTGCTGCTTATCTGAATGCTATATAACCTGTAATTAATGGTATCAACTGCTGGCATTTAATCTAGAAAAAAAGGATGTGCTGAGATATTGCAGCTGTACACTTGATTGAAAGTCAGCAATTTGCTGACAGTGAGCAAGATTTTCTTTCCAGCAAGAATCCAGAAAACAGGCTAAGAGATCTGTGCTAGCGGGAGAGTTTAAGAAAACAATGCAAGCTGGCAAAAAAGTTGGTTAGACTGCACCTTGGTTTGAAATGTTTTAGTACAGAAAAAAGTTAGCTGATTGGCAGAACCAGAAACAGAATCACTTTTTGGTGGATAATGTTTGCACTTGGTTGTATTCACAGCACATAACGTCTTGTACACATTCTTTTCAAGTTCAGTTGACATAAAACCTCAAAAAATCTTCATACAGGATGCAGTAATTTAAAATGCTCTTTTTCCTGCTATAAAATCCAATTCTTTTTAACCATTATTTTTCAGTGTTTTATGCAAAAATATGATTAAAAATAATATTTTATATAGGGAAACTTCTTTTTGCTTTTCAATAGCGAAGGAACAAAAGAATCTTAGGAGTAAGAAGTCTTGTTCACTCTTTCTAGTTGGAATGAAGAGCTGCTTGTTTCCACAGCTTCTGTGAGACTGCTGTGTAACTGCACAAGAACGGTAATAAGACTAGTGGCATAGTTTCTTCAGGGGCCATATCTCAGAAGTCTAAGATTTAGTGAATTCTCTAGCTTTTTCACCAGGCAGTTATGGCCCCACTGCTCCCTCATTTAGCTCATCCTCATACTTTCTTGGGTTCCTTCCTGCCTACCAGTGCTGTACTCAGGTCTGTGAGACAATGAATTGCCAGGCACAGAGAAGGAGCTATGGAAAAGCAGAAATAACTTGTCTCCTCAGTTTTTCAACACCACTTCTTCAATGAGCAGCAACGAAAGGAGGGAACTGGAGATTTGTTGCCCCTTCTTTTACCTCCACATTCTCAGAATCTCCTCTTAGGTGCTGTCATCCCATCTTTGTGGGACAGATGGCAGACATGGCATGAGTAAGCAGAAAAGGTGGAGGTAGAGGAAGACAAGGCTGATAATATAAGAGTGGTATCCTGTCTGTTCATTAGTGGGGCTAAAATAATTGGTTAATTCCTTAATCTTGGTACTGTTTATGGAAACTGCCCACACAAGTGTGATTTTGCCACTTCCATTCACCACCACTGAGGAAAATAACACACTTTGTTTATTTTTGTAGCTGGTCCTTACACAGAGGAACAGAAAAAAACAACAAAAGGAAAATCCAATTACCAGCTGAATTACAATGGGTCAGCTGCAGCATCATATGTCTAGTGCAAGGTTTGAACTGGTAGTGAAAAGTCCTGATCTTCCCTTTCTTAGTCATATCCTAAACATGAAGTTACAAAAATTATGGTAAGGATCTTCAAAGATCTCTAAACACCTAGTGATTTTTTAAGAACCACATTAAAAGTGAACAAATTTCAAGTATCTGTATAACACAGTCATGATGACTGCACAACAGTAGACCAAAGGTCTATGTAATCTGTTTTCAAGTCTTTGACAGTGGCAAAATGCAGATGCCTAGGGGAGAGTATAAAGGGGCATGCACAGAGTGATACTTTTGAAATTCTTGCTCAGCCTTTTGCAGTTTTCTGCCAAAGAACTTCCTTAAGCGAAAAGGAGATTTTTTTCTGTGAACAGTCCTATACTGACTTGGCTTTCATAAATTGGCCTGTTTATCTCTTTAACTTGTGTACATTCAGCAGCAAGAAGTTCTACAAGTTGGCTTTCTTCAGAAAAAATATCTCCCAGTATTCATTCTCGATCCACCACTATTTGATGTCTCTTAGTTATTTCACAAGAAGCACAACATGAATAGATGAAACATTCCTGCATCACATTCTCCAAACCACTCTTGCCTTTAAAAGCTTTGATTGCACATAAGTGCACTTGACTCTTTTTAATATTGAAATATCTTTCTTTCTCTCTTTAATCATTCCTCACATATAAATGTTTCCCTGACCTTGACCACCTCTGTAATTTTTCCTCTGTACATAATTATCTGTTCATCCCCATTGTCACTCTTATTTGTACCTGAATAAATTTGATGGTATTATGGTTGTGTTCATGAACATAATTATTAACATTGTCCCAGAATTTCTTGGTATAAGCATGTAGGAAATTCTCATATCCAGCAAAAAAAAAAAAAAAAAAGGGGTTTTTTTAATTTGAATTTTAAACTCTTTTATCATAAATTAATTTTTGCCACATTTCCTATTTTATGAAGTGTTATCAGCATATCTAACTTAGGCCTGAAATTTGTCAGGCCTCAGGATCACAACTGTTCTCCTAAATGTAATCTTTTAGAAAGGTCTATTGTTTAAATTTCTGTAAGGTGTTTGGTGGTGTCTAATGAATTCTTTAGGTGAGCTCTGATGTGTTGTATTTAACAAAAGCAGCACTGCAGCCAGCCTCTAGTAGCATTTTTCAGCTTTTATAATCTACTTCATTACAACATCCAAAGCAAAGACAGTGAATAATCCTATGGAATGTATTAAAAATCTGTTTGTCAAGAGAAGCAGCTTATATTCTTAATATAATTTTAAAGTAAGGAATTAAAGCAGCTTATATTCTTAATATAATTTTGAACTAAGGAATTGGCCAGTGGGCTCTGGAATTGCTCATTTGGTTATTTCCAAAATACTCTATCACTGAGGATTTTCTTTTACCTACATGTTTACATGTTTAACCTGATCTTTGAAAAGATACGTTATACTTTATCACATTATTACTGAAATAATGTGTGGCTTCTGATACAGTGAATATCATAATATGCATAGTTTCCAGTATTGTAATTTGATGAGTTACAGAATGCAAATCTTACCTGTTGTGCATCTTCCCACTTCTCTTTGTTTTCTTCATCTAAGAGATTACTAATGATTTGAAAGAAGTTCTGAAAAATCGATTGAATAAAAGACAAAGTAAAATTATTTCAATGACATGAAATATCATATCCTTAAGTTGACATTATGAGAGCTTTCCTTTCTCTGTTATGGATGCCATTCTGCAGCCTATTTTCTGACAGTGGAAAAAGTGAGGCAACAAAATAGTATATTAGACTGAAAAAAGGGCACACATATTTTATGGTTAATTGTTCATTTTTGGCTATAGAGTCAGGTTCCATTTTACTGCTTTGTATAAAACAAGAACCGTTTTCAATTACACTTGCTAAATTTCTAAGTGTGATGGTGCTCTGTTTAAAAACTGCTCTTATTCCAGAAACTAGACAACAATATAAGCTGCAAGTAAACAAAGTACATTTAAAAAAACCACCAGTCTCAGTCTTCAGTTTCTATTCAAAATATGAAAATATCCTTAATAACCATAAATAGGGTATACAATGGTATTTTGCTGGTAAATGCTGTTTGAAACCAGGTGCCTCTTACCTTGAAAAAGTTTTATTTACCTCTATCCTTTTAGAAATTTCAGCATTAAAGGAATAATTAGTTTCTGTTTCTCTGACCTTAAGCTATTCATTTCTGTATCTGATTCTCCTCTTCATTTAAGTATAAGGGAAAAAAACAAATAAAAGCCAGGACATTCAGCACAGTTTAAAAATTACTTTCTTCTAAGTGTTTGTGAAGACATTCCTTTTCTAATTCTGCCTGCTCTCTCTACCAACTTGTATTCCCAACTTCTTCCTCTTTAAAAGCTAAAAATTTGTGCAGTCTGTTCTCAGCTCTGCATCACATTTTGTGCAGAATGTCAATTTTGTCTATGCCTGCCAATTATAATTTATCTGTTCCTTCATAAAAGATACATGTAGTTTCCACTAACCTCAGCTGAAGAGTGCAATTAAGTTCCCCATGACCTCTAAAAATCTTTAACTGGAATACCAAGCACAGGACCATGCTGGAACTCAGATTCATGGTCATTCCCTCACCTGCACTTACATTTTAGCAGTGTTGGGATATGGACTTAAATAAGGTTGAAGTAAGAAGTAACTTTAACTCACTATTAATGAACAATTAAAGGATTCAACTGCACAATGACTGAAATTAGAGCAGAAATAACTAACATACCCTTAGTATACAGTGAGTAAGCTTGAAAAAAGACATTAATTTCAAAATATGAGATATCACAGACACTTTAGGTGTCTCACAACCATATAACTCAAACACTTTAAAACATAAAATTGAATAATGCTTGTGAAAACTATTTTTACATGAAAACATTTTACCAGTTTAATTTAGTTCTAATATTAACTACTTGACAAGGAAGAGGATCCATCTTTGCCTAACCATTAGGAAGTTAATCATGCTAACCATAACATTCACATGGATAAAAATTCCTTTGACTTGACCAAATTTAATATAGGGGTGACTGATACTTTGTTGAACTTGGACAAAATAATCCTGTACATTAATGAGGCTGCAATTCTTCTCTCACTGAAATCAGCAGCAAAATATCTATCAGCTTCAGGAACACAAAAACTTCATGAAAAGACACAAAATGGCTCAGCAAGCTCCTGTAAAAATTACAAGTGTGCATTTGGACAAGATGACGGGAATTAATGATAGGACATAAAAGAAAAAATGTTCTCATGGTTTGATCCAATTTTCAGTGATAGTGCTGAAAAATTTCCAGTCAAGTTGAAGACAAGAAGAGGAAATATTGCTATGTATTGTTTGTATACCAAGAATACATTTAATCTCTTTTTAGTATTCAGTAGCAAAATAAAGCACAATGCAGAGAGTTATGTTTAGCATTCATTACAAAGGATTTGACAGTTTAACCAGGTTGGAAAATCATAATTGTATAAATACAACTTTAGCTAGGAAAAATGTACATCTTCATTGGTCCCTCAAGCAAAATAAACTATACTGGTCAAAGCAGTTTCATGGCACTATAACCATATGTACTCTAGGGCATTATAATTTTGGCAAAGAGTTCTACTAGGTAAAGTTGGCATGATGAAAATATAGCCTGAGGAAAACACTTTTCAAAACATGAGAGTTCTGTGCTCTTCCAGTGTAATACTGTAGAAATGCAGTAGACAGACATTTCAACTTTAACTCGTTAGGGTGTCAACAGCAGTCTAGCTGCAGCAGCATGGAAGTCAGGGTGGGATAATTTATCATACTAGGGAGCTGGTTTGTAGCTAGTTTTGCATTACACTCAGCCACTCATTCGCCTGCAGAAACAGTCTAAGCCTTAATTACCACAGTATCCATGTCCATGTAATGAGAGCTATCTGAGAGTAGGCTTAGATTGCCTGAAAACACTCAGGACTTTTAAATGTTTCTTGCAGAAGATAAATAGCATGAGTTTGCTAATGATGTTATGTGTTAATTAAATTTTTAAATGTTTCTTGCAGAAGATAAATGGCATGAGTTTACTAATGATGTTATGTGTTAATTAAACTTTATGTTTGTTTCGGTTATGTGAAAGCATTAAAATCACCAACATTTGCCAAAAATATATGTGAAAAAGCTTATAAATAATGCTAGACTGAAGCACAAACAAAAGATGAGCAATAACTGGTTTAATATACACTCTGTTCTTGCCAATAAACCATAAATGATGTATATGAACTTAGTAAGAAGAAGATCTTTCTTCTTGAGATCTTTTTTTCTCTAATTCTATTCCTGGTTGATGTCATATTTATGGTAGCAGTGGAGGCTGAGATGTATGTAGATATTTCAGTCAGCAATACCAGTGCTTTGTGAATTAAACAGAGAGATAATTAAATGGATTTGCTGCTTCAACAATGAACAGATATGAGATGCACTCCAAAAATATGACAGGGGACAATGAACAGATATGAGATGCACTCCAGAAATAGGACAGGGGAAAAAAAAGGGTTAAAAATTCTCCTGCTTTGACTATTCACTTGCTTATTGCATGAATGTTGCAAGAAACAACATTGCCCTTTAGTAAAATGATTGACAGGTATGAAGGCTAAATTTTAGAAGCATTATGGATGTGATCTGATGGTATTACTGCAGTAAACACTGGACCTCCCTGTAGAATCAAGCTCCTTCCTTTCATGGCAGGACTTATGTATTACTGAACAGGCCACTACAGAAAATGTTGGGACAGCCAGAACTAAATTTTTAAGCCTTTTATTTTTGCCCAGGCTTTTTTGATGATAATTCCAGTTGCGGTTGGGAATGCACAATTACGTTTTCCTAATTTAATTTCCTTCCTTTCAGTTTTTTTCTTCTGTAATACAATGGCTGCAGTTCTCTGTTCCAGTCCAAATTCTTTGACCCTCTCTGCAGGCATAAAGCTGTCATAAATCCTTTTATACAGCTAGAGAAGAATTCCTCCCTAGGAGGAATTAATGGATAGCCTTAAGTTACCTCCACTTTTGGACTTCAGCACAGGGAGCAGTTGTGGGGGAGGAAGAAGGTGGGGGGGAGAAGGATTGGACAATCCTGTTAATCCCTGACTGGCAGCAATAGTCCCTGTGGCTAATATAAATGGGATTATATTGCTCTAACTTCTGTGGGGGAAACCTTGTTTCCTGCTGGTCACTGCATCAGGGGATTGTACAACTCACTTTGCCATCCTGTCCTGAAAGGCAGTTCCTTTCCTGCCATCCTGCCCTTAGAAGGTAGTTCACTTTTAGACCAGTTCTGGGTAGTGTTCCAAAATCTTGCTTATGTTATGCTTATTTAAGATTTTGATTATGTTCCTAGTAGAATTGTTCTTATGTCAGTGCAGTATCCATCTCATAGCCACAGTGTACCTACACAGGGTGTTTTAAACTAATTCCCATATTAAATAAAAGACCTTGCTTGCAGAATTAAATGACTTTTGTCTCAGTTCTGCTACTGTACTGCTGTTTTCACCCACTGATGCAGGACACCTTCTTGCTTAACTGCCTCATACATGGCTATTTTTGTTCCTGACACTATGTATGCAACACATACAGAAATCCTGTTGCAAAAAAAAGGTTAAAATATGCAAAAGGAAAAAGAGTCAGATAATAAATAACTTGGCCCTGGATATGAATACTTTAGAAACTTTGTTTGGCTCTTGGTATCTCTCTGCCGAAACAAGTGGCATTTTCTATGCAACTCATCAAGCAATAACACCTTCATTTTGAGCAATTAGCCTGGAATTTTCAAATTTGATTTCACTTTTCTGCTTGTCATGGAGTCTCTGAATCAGAACTTTTGCACTATTCATGAATATTAATATGGATATAAACCAGAGATTATAGGCAACTGAAGGACTATCCAGATGGATGGAATGTATAAAAAACATATATACTTTTCCTATCTAAGTTTTAATGCAAGTGTTTTTGTCTGGATCTTACTCATAATTCATCATAATCTACTTTTCTGACATCATGCAAAATGATAAATTATGACTTTCAGGGATTTTAAACCTCTCTCATGCTTTTCTGATAATTTCTTTAAAACAAAAATCCATCGAATTAGAAATTCTACTCTATCTAATTAAAAAATTACAATGTAATTAGAATACCACACAGAGCTTCTTCACAAAGAACTTTTGTGCAAATTAATTGCATTTTCACCTTTTTGTCACTTACTTTGATGATGAACTAAAAAGTATTAACATATGTGACAGTGAAAAGAAAAATTAAATTAAATACAGTCCCCCAGAGTGTGGTAAAACATGACATATGTATTTTCCAAGATATCTCCATTTATCTGCAGGCATATATTCCAAAGTGTATTTATAATCTATGCCTACCTTTACACAAACAAATACATACACATGATCTGAATTAATAACTTCATTAGTAACTTATAAATTATCATTAAATTATATTTTTCATAAATAATATCATAGAATCATCAAGTCCCAACCCCCTGCCCTGGGCAGGGACACCTCCTCACTAGATCAGGTTGCTCAAGGCTCATCCAGCCTGGCCTTGAACACTGCCAGGGTTGGGGCAGCCACAACATCCCTGTGCCAGTGTCTCACCACTGTAAAAACCTTTTTCCTCACATCCAACCTAGACTTTCCCTCCTTCAATTTGAATCCATTACCCCTTGTCCTATCACTGCAGTTCCTAACACAGAGTCCCTCTCCAGCTCCTTGTAGGCCCTTCAGATATTGAAAAGTTGCTCTGAGGTCTCCACACAGTCTTCTCTTCTCCAGGCTGAACAGCCCCAACTCCCTCAGCCTGTCCTCACAGGGGAGATGTTCCAGTCCTCTTAGCAGCTTTGTGGCCTCCCCTGGACTTTCTCCAACAGTTCTATGTCCTTCTTATTTTGAGAGCACCAGAACTGTGTGCAGCATTCCAGGTGGGTCTCACAAGAGCAGAGCAGAGGGGAAGAACCACCTCTTTTGACCTGCTGCCCACTCAATGTATACATCTACCTTCTTAGTATTCTTTTTCAATATACCTACAGTCTTTGAAAAATGTCTAAAATTCTCAGATAAAGATGAAACCAATATCCTGATCTAGAAGTCCTGAGTAATATTTATTTTAATCAACACTCTACAATGAGTTGTGCAACGCATTATTAGAAATAATTGTGGTGGATTTAGCTCTGACAGCATTTTATTTGTCCTCTTGCACAGGAAGAGTTAATCTAAGATGTGAAATAGAAAATTCATATCGAATGCACTATCCATCACTCCTGTGCACTTTTGATGAGCTTTATTTATTTGAAACGAAGAAGCGATGCCAGAATTACATAACATTGTGGATAGATTTTGAACTGAAATGAACCAGTTTTGAACTGAAATGAACTAGAACAAGAAACTCTTAGTGCAAAAAAAATTAACATACTCCTGTCAATCAAACCAAACCTTGAAAGACAAGGATACTGAAATAAACATTACAAATAAAGTATTTTACATTTTTTACTTGCTGCATTGTTTTGGATATTTGTCTTATTAAATGTAGCTGAGTCTTCTCCCTATTTTACAATTGTATCTTAGTTTTGTGTGAACAATACTTATGTCTATCATTCAGAAGATTTAGTTTCCTCAGTGGGTAAAACACTTGACATGCAGTATACTGACATAAACTCCATGAATTAAAACATGACCCTTACAATGTTTCTCTTACCTGCACCCCATCAGAAGCAGGGATGTAACTTGCTCTTTTAAATGTGTCCGTAACATTTCTGAGAATTTCCACAGAAACTAGAAGGTCTCCTGCATAAAAGTTTTTCCTCTGTGTTAAATCCAGTAATGTCTTGGTTACTTGGGACATGCCATCACCAGCCAACATCCTCTGTCCCTTGGCAAGGTGCTCTTTAATCTGTACCAGAAGAACAAAATTATATCAGAACCTACTTTACTGAGAAGAAGGTATGATAAATTTGAAACACGGACAAAATATTAGATATTAAAGCTATTTAAGAAGAAAAAATGGTAGACTAGGATGACAGAAATATTATTTTTATCAGAGAATCATCAATTTTATTCTGAAAGATTCTCATTGTGTTTCACCCATTTGCTTCTTGGACCTCCATGGGTTAAAGTGTGGCTTTAATTTACCACGACGATGTAGCAAGGAATTTATATTCCTCAGAGGAACAGGTGTACAAACATGGTTGCCACTCATTAAACAACTATAAGCTCTGAAAGGAATAAATGCTAAGACATTGTTATAACCTAATTTACTATTGGAAAGTAGACCCTTCATCTCTGCCAGCCCAGCTTGCCTAGGCAATGCAAGAGAGATGGTTTAGTTGGAAGGGGATTATGGTGCTCTCTTCTTCAGTACTAACACAAAGGTGTTAACTTGGAACTATCCTGTTTGTTTTTTCCAAGAAATGCAAATTAAATTATGAATTGCTCCTGTGTATCTGCCAAAAGAGCTAATTTAAGCAACAGCTCTCCCAGCAGATCTGTTCAAGGCTAGTGATCCAAGACGAATATGCTGGTAGAATTATCCTCCTGATAAGAAGCTGAACTTGTGGACCTGATTAATTCTTAAAGCTGACTCAGCACTCCAAGAAGACGCAGAGTGTATCACAAAGATATGACCAAGCCAGCCAAAGCTAAAAAAGTACATGGGATAAACAACCCATTTTTAACTATGCATATGAATTTATGTGTACAAACACGTGCTCTTCCAAACTGAAAGCTGAAGTATCATAGAATCATAGAATATCCTGTGTTAGAAGGGTATTAAGCAATAGATAAATTACATGAGATAGATCTCATTCTAAGCAAGAGAGCTGAAGAGAAAATACTATGCAACTAGCAACCAAAATGCTGACACCATCTTTATAAATGTCTCTTATATTGCTTTTTAACTTGGCCTTATTACTGATACACAGAGGGAAAAAATTACTAATGTAGCATATGGTTAGACCAGAAGATCATGAAGGTCTCTTCCAACCTTGATGATTCTATGATAATGTGATGGTGAAGTGGAAGGAAGAGTGTAAAGACACGTTTTGGACTTCCAGATCTCTCCAGCCACTTTGTGAGGATATGTGGGTCTTTGTTATACATAAACAAATTTGTTAAAAGGATAGACTAAAGGATAGAATATATAGCAAAAGTAGCACAGAGGTTGAAAGGGTTCAAAATAACTCTCATGAAAGCAATTTTAAAAATACAATAATCCTTTGACATATGGACTCTAAGCAGGTTTTCTGTCATGCTGTTGGATCATATTTTGGTAACATTCTCAGTATTTGGTTACAGTCCTCAGACTAGATATATGTTAACACAGCTGTTGCTGGACAATGTGGCTGCTTCAATTTCTGTCTACAGCCTTAACTTGTCTTTAATAGCTGCTGGGGACTGTTATGAACCAAAACTGGCTTGCCAAAACCCTAGAAATACTTAAGACTTGGGAGAATACCTGCCTGGTGCAGCATGGACCAGAGAGTGAATCTAATCTATATTACAAGTACAGAGGTACAAGCATAATGGTATGATTGATATTTATAAAAAAAATCAATAAATCAGTGAAAACTGAGACTGTTAATTGTTTTGTTTGGTGTTTGTTTATGTGTTTTTTAACAAATATTTCAGAAGAAATATCTCCCTTAGTCTTCAGAATAAGAAATCAGGTGAGAAGTTTCTCCCAAAAATAATTTTGTGCAGTTTCTACTCCTTTTAGAAGGAGGCTTTGAAAGTAATCTGGTAGGAAAATAATAGGGGAGAAAAAGGTGTGAGAATGGCTGAAAATTAATTTCAGTAAATTCAGAGATCTGATATTGTATACATAACATTATGAACGACTTTCTTGAGGATAAACAAAATCAAACATGAACTTGATTCATTTTTTTCTGTGAAATGTTGCCATTTGCCTCATCTACTCACGCATAGTGTCCCATCAGCAAGTTAAAAGAGCATCAGCCAGCACAGTAACACATAAGATTGAACTTTTGCTGGAACTCATCCAGCTGTTTATTGACCCCAAAGCATAACTCCAGATTTTGAGGATTAACAATGTTTGGTGTGTCTCTAGTCAAGCCCAAAAGACAGTCCATAAAGATGAACTCCCAAATCTAACACGTCTCAGGATGTACTGTTGGAAAGACAACACACATCTTGAAGGCAGGTTTAAGAGAGAACAAAGTTGTTCTTTTAATACCAGTAACAACAGCAATGTGGTCATAAAAACTACTGTGCTCTAATGTTTGTATAAACACTGGTAGGAAAACTGTCAAACTATTTAGCAGGTTATTTTGTACTGCACTATTTTGCTTCCTTTTGCTCCATCTGTATGTTCACCTCAAATTTGTTTTTCCATTCTCCTGCTAGACTTTAAACTCACATTTTAAAGAAGCAGAGGCCAAATTGTTGATGGTTTTGGATCCTCCAAAGCACACAAAAGTGTTGGTCTCAGCTGCTTTTGGAATGCAAATAATAAATTAGAATGATCCCAGTTTTGACTGGGTTTTATGCTTTTGAACAAGCTCTGTTTTCAGTGAAAAATGCTACAGATCTCTAGCAGCAGAAGTGGGAGCTGTAGTATACCCTTTGGTGCTTTCAGCAAGACATTTTGGTTGCTTTTGGACACAATGATAAAAAAGCTCTAGCAAGTACCCACAATTCCACAGGACTAAATTACTGCACCTACTTCAAAAGCAGCCAGGGTTGTGATGCAGGTGGTTTAAAGCAACTCAGAATTACCAGCTCTTAACAGCTCAACTTGGAACTTTCTTTTTAAAAGATGACATACCCAGAAAGCTCAATTTCCTAGCACAAGTACCTTTCCTCCCTTGGGCCACACCACTCATACACAGCTTTAAGAGAACATTTTCATCCTCTCAAACTCCAACTCAGAAGTTCCTTCCCCTGATCCTTAGCTACCCCTCCAGGCCTACACTGCCTTGAGTTAACCTAGCACATACTCTTAGAAATAGCATAACAAAACAGAAGGTTGTGTTTAGGTAAGGAAAGGGGGAGAAAGTTAATTAGGTGAAAGTTTTGACCAAGACCAGCAAGCAATGTGCATGGCAGGGCAAGAATTAACATCCTCTTTATTCTAATCAGTTTATTAGATAATGTATTTTCTTGTTGTAAAACAGCCTACAGCTCCTAATCACAACTTTAAAATCACAGGCCATTCACTCAGTTGATGTAAACTGGTGCAACATTATTAAAACCAATGAGGATGTCCAGATTAGTGCGAGTTGAAGGAAATGAATTACTTGCACAGCTATCACAATAATCTTTCTGCATGAAAATACAGAGTATTCTCATCCGTAGTTACTATGATGCCTTTCTCACCATATTGCTTATTTTGTCTACTATGGTCACTGTGATATTATGCACTGCCCAAGAAAGCTATTTTGGTCACCACTGTAGGTCCTTGTAGTTCTCTGTGAAGGTCATTTTTTAGTGGTCTTCCAGGCAGGCTCATTAAAAATAAAGTTTATGAGCCGAGAGATAGTGAAATGAAGCAGCTGTTAAACTGACACTTCAGTTGTCAGCCCCAGCTCTAGCTGCCCACACTATATGGCTGCATACTTGAAAAATTACTGAAATGTTTAACTGGACTTTGACTCTGGGTGCAACTGCCTTTGTCCCTCGATTTATCAGAAAGTATGATATAATAAAAATGCCTCTTAACAAAGTCAGAGCTCCTAAGCCTCCAGCATTGGAGTACAAATTTATTGCTGCATAGTAATTACTGCAGACTTAACATTTAGATGTGGTTTAAAGGGACAGAAAACTATAAACTCTCAAGAAAACTACAAAAGACTGAAAATAATTATGAATTTGAAGAGTAACTACACCATCAACCTTTTCATTATTTTTTAAGATGTTGTTGGATTTCTGTCTAGGTATTACTAATGATGTCATTAATACATTTCATGGCAGGGGGAAGTATAAGAACCCAAATTAGGAAGCCTTATATAGAACTGAGGAAAGACAGTTTGAAATAAAAATATATCCTCAAAGTGCTCATAATCTGCAAACCTCTTTGCTCTGCACCTCCACAACCCAACACTAATATTTTACAAAATATTTTTCATAATGCTCTTAAGACGCTGAACATATATCACACCTATAATGTAATGTCATTGTGAGAAAGAACTTCCTTTCAGATTTGAGAAAAACTTCATTACAGCCTGTTTTTCTCTGATAATTGGTAGACAGTCCTTTAACAGTTTTAGCACAGAGCTTTCATTTATTCAATCTAATAAATTATTTACAATTGATTCGGGCTTTTTTCAGGCTGTTTCAGTGTTCAAGAATATTATTTCATCCATCTTTTAAAAGAAACAAAGTCTAAAGATAGAGCTATGCATCTTCAGGTATGCATCTGAATATTTATAACCTAATATCATGGAAGAGATTTTTTTCTTTTCTATACGTTCAGTATTTTATGAAGGAGATTGTTAAAGCAATACAAAATAATTTTCCACTTTGTCATCAGTAAAATTAGTTAGTAGTCTCAATCTCAATCATGATAACTTACTATAAACCAATAGTTTTTGCAAAGAAGAAGGCAAACATTTGTGTGTGCAACCTCTGTATAATAGAAAGTGGGAAAAGTAGTTGGTATACACTTTGTCAAGGAAGATAAAGGACATAAATGAAGGAAAACTTTTCTTACAGTTGAAAAGGAAAATATATCACAGTTTACCTGAAGAGACCATGCAGACTTCCATATTGGAGGCCTTAACAGTCAAGAAAAACAGAATGCTAGAATAATACAAGTATAGCTGATTCTGATGGGCCAGAAGTTTGGGCTGGATGATCTCATGAATTTCCTTTCAGGTCTATAATTCTGTAACAGGTCCAAATTTTGTGAAACTCAAACTAAAGCCTCCTATAATTTAT